TATCATACAATGTAGTGTATACATGGAGGTAGTATAACATATAGGCTGGTGCTGAGACGATTATAGCCTATAAATTGTCTTAGGTCTTCACATTGTCATATATATATATACTTTGAAGGTTTGGATTGACGCATTCGCATTCCAATCTCCATTCTAGGATTCCCCGAGAGGAGGTGTGGACCCCTATGCGGGGACCGTCCTCGTCAGGGAATTCCTGGCTCCGCCCCTGGTTGTAAAGCTATTATTTTTGGTCGGAGCTAGTTTCCTACCATCAGTCGGTGAGCACGATGCAGAACAAATCGGATAAACAAACCTTTTCAACCCTAAACTAATTGCTTCTTGTTTGAGACTCGATCCTGGAAAGCTTCATCATCATCATCATCATCATCATCATCATCATCATCATCATCATCATCATCATCATCATCATCATCATCATCATCATCACCACCACCATCATCATCATCAGCGTCGATGTCGTCATCAATCATCATCGTCATCATCATTATCAACCTTGTTTGCTGTCACCATCATAGTTATTATCACCATTGTTATCATCAATGATAAGAATGAACTACTGTACATTATTATTATTGTCATTTTCACCATCATCACAGGCAGCTCCGGTATTTATTAAGCATCATCATTATAATAATCATAGTCATCATCATCGCATCATCATAATCATCATCATCATCATCATTATCACATTATCATCATAATCATTATTATTATCATCAGTATCATCATCATACTGCTCCTATATTCAGAGGTACCAGGCTTGCCACTTTACATAATCCCGTTCATCAATTTTCTAATGAGATAACTCCGTGGTTTTTGTTTTTTGTTTTGTTTTTTTTGTTTTTTTTTTGTCTATGTTTGTTTGTTTGTTTTTTTTTTTTTTTGCCTCATCGACGACCGGCGTGCGAATGATTGTTGAGCGGGTGAGCGTGAGAAGAGGCGCTGAGGCGTGATTCTCACGCCGTAGGCGTGAGACTAGGTAGGCCATCGTCATCCATCTTGGCATTTTTCTGCATTATACTGTTATACAACTGTTATGCCAACAAACTAGTAGAACCTTTTAAGGGGACACCTTCGGGACCGTCAAATTGTGGCGCCCAAATGCCCGTCCATTGTATGGAGTTGGCTGTGTTAAGAAATATACTTTAATTCATTTCGTGATAAAAAGTGTCACCAAGCTTAGGCTTGTCCCAATTGAGGGGTACTACTGTACGTAGGCC